GTGGTGAGAAGGAACAGATTTTGCATGTTTTAGCATTCTGATTTTATTTTTTAAATTTCCATATACCTGCAGAAAACATGAGTGGTACAATGAACACCTATGTATTCTTCACCTAGCTTTACCAGTTGTAAATAAATTGTCACATTTGTTTTATCTATTATTGTTATTATTATTACTGTTGGCTAAAGGTTTTGGGAGGAAGCTACCTGTAGCGTAACTTTTCAGCCCTAAGTGCTGCATGTTTCTCTTAGGCACAAGGACATCCTTGTACATAACCATAGTGCAGTTATCAAATTCAAGAAGTTTAACATTGAGAACAAAAATTCACATTTCTCCCATTGTTCCAATAATGTCCTTTGTAGCCATTTTTTTTTTCCCCCAGTGCAGGATCTGATCCAGGATCACACATTGTATTCGGTTTTTCCTATCTTTTAATTTTAGAGTATCTCTCAATTTGGCTTTTCTGATTCTTTCATACAATTGGGTTCCAGTGGTAACTCGTTGGCAGGAATGCTACACATGGGATATTGTGTGTGTCTCAGGGTACTGGAGATGCAAATGTGAAGGTAGCGTCAGTGGGATTTGTTGACAGGTGAGATTGGCATTGCCAATAACTGTGATATGGGGAAGACTATGGGCAGGATGGGGCTTTTGGGGGAGGATCAGGAGTATAGGTTTGTATACAATGTCTGGCACGTGGTTAGGTACTCACAGATGCCTGTAGTTGAATTTCATGCTAGTAAACTAATGAAATGATTCCCATGAGGAGGTGAGCCAGTGGTAGTGCCCAGAGTCCTAGCTTTATCTGGTTAGAGATTCAGCCCTGGCACTATCTCATGGTATCCTAGCTGGACTTGACTTCCTGTCTGGTGCAGCCAGATTAGGGAGAAACTTTCCTTCTCTACTGCCTTCTCTTCCTTATTCTTGTCATGTCCCTTTCACCAGTCGCTTAATATGTTTGCCCTGTGTTTCCCACTTTACCAAAGGAGTAAGTAGACAGGCAAGTCAGGTTCCAGGTAGAGGATGTATAGACTGGCTAGTTCAAGGGTTTGGGGGCAGAATACCTCTATTACGTTGTATGTTTATATGGCGGGTTTGCTTAATAAAACAACTGAAACCTCTCTCTTTTTAAAAATCTCTCTCTCTCTCTCTCTTTCTTTTAAAGTTTAAACTCATATCCCAGGCATATGAAGTGCTTTCAGATCCAAAGAAAAGGGATATTTATGACCAAGGCGGAGAGCAGGCAATTAAAGAAGGAGGCTCAGGCAGCCCCAGCTTCTCTTCACCCATGGACATCTTTGACATGTTCTTTGGTGGTGGTGGACGGATGGCTAGAGAGAGAAGAGGTAAATGCTTTTAAAGAAACATAAATAAGTTGTATGGTTTCCACAATTGTACGTGTTTTTGGAATCAGGATAGATCATGCTTTAAAAGGATATGATTGGACCAGGTGTAGTGGTTCATGTCTGTAATCTCAGCACTTTGGGAGGCCAAGGTGGGAGGATCGTTTTAGGCCAGGATTTCAAGACCAACTGGGGCAACATAGTGAGACCCCCCCATCTCAAAAAAATAAAAATAAAAAAATTAGCCAGGCCTGGTGACTCATGCCTGTAGTCTCAGCTACTTCTTGAGAGGCTGAGGCAGGAAGATGACTTGAGCCCAGGAAGTCAAGGCTGCAGTGAGCAATCCAGCCTGCATGACAGGGTGGGGCCCTGTCTTAAACAAACAAACAAACAAACAAACAAAAAAACAAGGTACCGTTGCCATGTTTTGGGATCATTAACTTTAAAGAGTTTATCACTTGTCTAGTGCTCAGGCTACCTGGAAACTCCTGGTAAATTTAGTAATTATCTGACATCCTCCAATACTATATGAAGGAGCAAATGGACTGGTGGATAGAAAAGAAGGTGGTCAAGTTCATCGTGCCTTCTTTTCCTCTGTTGTTGGGGTCAGGCACCAGAGTGTGTTGAAAGATGTAAATGACGCCTCCTGTGGTTGTCAGGGATCCTTTACGGACAGTGTTCCTCTCCTCTCTTGCCTACCCTCCCTTTGTGGCCTTCCATTTTCCCTGACCTGGGCCTGGGCTGCAGGCTCTCTAATTCTAGGTGGGTACCCTTGCCATGTTCAGTATGGCCTCATTTCCCAGCCTGCTCAGGGGATTTTCTAGGTAACAAATTTTACCTCTTTATGTTTGAAATCTTTGTAAATGACCTGTCTTTCTTTTCAGAATGCATTATGAGTAGTAGCAACTTCATCCCCAGGTGAATGAGGAACTTAGCCCTTAGCTCAGTGGCCCCAGGCCACTGTTTTGACTTTCGAGGTTTGCTCTTCCTAATTTTTCTGCATCTCACCTTCTGCCAGACTACAGGCTGTTACCTCTGTTGTTAGTAGTTGCTAATGTTAGTAGTTGCCAATAGACTAGTTCCCATTCCCCCTGTTTAGTTTACTGTCGTCAGGCTGCTTTGAATCTTGAAACCAGAAAGATAAGCAGGCTTATTATAATTCTGGATAAAGTCAGAAGAAATGAGCTCTGCCTTGGGGTTTAAGAAGTGTGATTTTTGAGAGACCCCTAGATAAATGAAGCAGCACCTGTTATCACATTGTAATTGACTTTGAGCTTTAAAAAGCTTGGGTGTCAATTCTGTGAACACAGAGTGCTGAAAATCACAAAGTGTTTATTAGGGAAAAATCCTTCCCCTGTCCTTTGAGCATATTGCCTGCTCATATAATTGATGGTGTGCACGTAATTAAAACTTTGGGTATTCTCTTGTCCAGCTCCCTCACTGTCTTGAGATGAAAAACTTCATGCCCTTAATTAAGTCATCTCTCAAAGTTGGCAGCCAGTAAACCAGGACAGCTCGTCTCAGTGACTGTGGGAGCTCCACAGGCAGCAGGGAGGGTCTTGATGCTGTCAGTCTTGACAGGCTGGCAGGCGCTGGAGCACACGCCCACCCTCAGGACCAAACACCCACCGTGCTAAGTGCAGAAGCAAGATTTTGGCAGAGGAAAGAATTCCCATTTGGCCACCAGTTACAGAAGGGCTCAGAAAGTAAAGTGCTTTATGCCCTTTAAAGTAAAGGAAGAGTTTGAAAAGATCCAGAGACTTTGGCTGTCACAGATTTATGTATAGAAAGAACTCCTTTCATGGGGAAACTTAACCAACTTCGTGGGTTCATACTGCTTTTGGTTTCTCAATTAGTACTCTCCCTGTCCTCAGATTTGTTCTCCAAAAATAAAGGTGGAAAGTCTTTTTGTTGGCCTCTATAAATGATTAATTAGCTCATAGCTAGAGAAGGTATTAGCTCTTGTTATTGGCTGAGGGCTAGAAGGATGGGCTGGGGTAATAGAAGCATTGCTTCCTGCAGGGAAGGGAGCGCATGACCCATCCACAGTCTTGAATCTCTGGAGACTTCATACAACTAAGGGTCATATGGGTGGTATTTAATACAGTGGTATATTTCATTCAATGCCACTAATTTTTTTTCTCCCTTGCTAAGGCAAGAATGTTGTACACCAGTTATCTGTAACTCTTGAAGATTTATATAATGGAGTCACGAAGAAATTGGCCCTCCAGAAAAATGTAATTTGTGAGAAATGTGAAGGTAAAAATTAATTTTTGACTGAACCTCACAGTTCTGATCCCTTAGATTCAGAAACAATGCTTGTTTTAGTTCAGGGAAAATACGTTATCTTATTTCAAATGCAAGGGTCAAGCAGAGATTATAGACAGGTGGCCTGAGGACCACATCTCTTTGCCTGAATGAATGTTTTCTTTGGGCTGCACCTCTGTTTGACATGTTGACGACTATTTTTAAAAATTAAGAATCAGACACTTGACCTCATCTAGGGGTTGGCTGGCAGACTTTTTCTGTAAAGAGCCAGAGTTTAGGCTTTCCGGGTCATGGAGTCTTTTGTAACTAGTTCACTCTGCCATCATGTTACATAAATGAATGGACATGCCTGTGTTCCAGTAAAGCTTTATTTACAAACCCAAGCAGTCTGGCCATGGTTTCTTGACCCCTAACTTAAATGTACATATAATTATTGTAATTTTTTAAAAATCTGAGTTTTCCAGAAAAGCCATGTCTGGTGACCCCAGCCTCACATTGTCCCACAGAGAGAATTGGCTGAGCTGGGTAGCTGCTGCTATTGACAGAGCTTTTGTTCTCTAGATCTCCATAGCCCCAGCCTCCTCATTCATCTGTGGGCCTATGCAGGTTCCACCTGGGGTGGAAGAAAACACATTTGATGAAGCTAAAGTAATAAATTTGGATTGATGCAACCAAAATCACAAACATTTGAGGTCAGATGTTAACATCTGGATGTTACCTGCTTGGCTGGACTCCTCCAGGCTCTTCTGCATTGTTTTTTGATTGTAAATAGAATTCTAAGCCCAATGTCTGATGTGAGGGTTCCCTACCCTTCTGCTGTGGTGCCCAGCAGGGACACTGGTAAGGGAAGAGCATGGCCCTCACTCCTGCCTCCCCCGACCCTGCAGGTGTTGGCGGGAAGAAGGGATCGGTGGAGAAGTGCCCGCTGTGCAAGGGGCGGGGGATGCAGATCCACATCCAGCAGATCGGGCCGGGCATGGTGCAGCAGATCCAGACCGTGTGCGTTGAGTGCAAGGGCCAGGGTGAGCGCATCAACCCCAAGGACCGCTGCGAGAGCTGCAGCGGTGCCAAGGTGATCCGTGAGAAGAAGATTATCGAGGTACATGTTGAAAAAGGTGAGGCTGCGCAGAGCTGGTGCTCCACACTGGCTGGAAATGCTGTCTGGGTGCTAATCGTGGGATACACAGGCTAGATGTCAGGGAAGTGAGCTGTATCACAACATGTATTGGGTGTGCCATGAATTCCTCTTGTGTCCCGGTCATCTTCTCTTCACCCTTCCTGGCCTTATTTCCATTCCATGTCACCTGCCAAAGTGTTCTTGCTGAGGTTTACTTCCTTGAGATCACAGACAGCCTCTCTATGAGATTTTCTAATGCTCTGAAAGTCTTACTTGGCCTTGGTTTTGGTTAGTTGCCATCTCCTGATATTCTCAAGCCATTCCTCTAGAATCTTTAGGATTGTCTTCCTGGTCGCTTCCAATGCTCATTGGCCGTAAGGGCTTGTTTAAGTGTTTGTGGCTGCATATTCCCTTTCTCTCCACATTTCCCCATCTGGTGCATCAGATGCCCCCAAATACAGCACCTTCTCCTGCTATTCATTTTGCCTGATGCCATCATTTTAAGGCCTTTTTCCATTTTAGCTGTCCTCCAAGTATTCCCTGATGATTCTGTGGCTTTCCAATCCAGTGAATATATCCTAGATCAGATACGAGACCAAAAGTAAAAGAATTAACACCCAAACCGACACAGGTGTTATGAAAGGACTTACTGTTTAAACGTGCCTGAACCCTGTGCCTTGAGTGTGCATAATGACTTATTAGAAAAGGACAGGGCTGGCTGACCCCCATCAGTCCTTAGTCATGCACCCTGTGCCCCGGGAAGTGGGTGGTGACCCCATGCTGGCAGTGTGGCATCACAGGCCCGGGGAAGGGAGTGCTGTGGAAACCTGGGATGTAGAGCCGCATTCCCCCTCTCCCTGTGCATGCTGGGCTTGGCCTCACATTATGCCAAGGGAAGCGGGACCTCTTTTCTCATTGGCCATCCTAGCCACCCCTCCCTGCCTTGTGCCTGCATGAGATTGGGAGGCTTGATGAATAAAGAACCCCTGAAGGACTCTGTTCCTTCTTCAAAAGCTTTAAGGAAGCATGGTTTTTATGAGAAATGGCTAATCAGAAAGGGATGATGTTTCATAGGTATGAAAGATGGGCAAAAGATACTATTTCATGGAGAAGGAGATCAGGAGCCTGAGCTGGAGCCTGGTGATGTCATAATTGTGCTTGATCAGAAGGATCATAGTGTCTTTCAGAGACGAGGCCATGACTTGATCATGAAAATGAAAATTCAGCTTTCTGAAGCTCTTTGTGGCTTCAAGAAGACGATAAAAACATTGGACAATCGAATTCTTGTTATTACATCCAAATCAGGTAACGTTTCAAATGTGTGTTTCCATTGACGTTCTGTATGTTTGGCATAATTCTAGCAAGTTAGCCTGATTTTTTTATTGCTACATAATATTTTACATATTGATGGGGTGCATGTAATACTTTGTCCCATGCATAAAATGGGTAATGATCAAGCCAGGTGTTTAGGGCATCTGTCGCCTTGAGTATTTCTTATTTGTGTTGGGAATAGTTCACCTGATTTCACATTTAAAGTCAAATTCTGTTACACAAATTAGTATGACGTGATTTTCTCTAAATTTAAAGTTATCCCTAATGACTCTAGATAATTTATAAAGTCCTTTATATTCTCCTAGAAAAAATATTCGGTTGGGGGGAAAAGTCTCAAATAAGAATCTTGGGGCTCTGAAATTTTAGATGAAGTCTGCCAATTAAACTTAAATTTTTAAAAATTTATTTTTGTATAAGAAAACAGCTTAATAGGTGGTGTTTTTCTATCAAGTGGTGATTTGTGCTGATTGATCCACATGTTCCTGTAGCCTCTGTTGTTCATTACTTGAGTTACATTTTAAAGTAGAATTTTCCTGTAAGAAAGACTTTGCCTATCAGCTTATCCTTGGAGGTTTCCACAGGAATTGCTGGTCTGCACACACCCATGGGAGCCAGAGGGAGATGCCTCTGGGCTGAAAGGGTTCCTGAGGGCCTGAGCTCAGCCCCCAGCCCCCTTGTAGACACTAGGGGACTCATCTCCCAGGAGGGTTTCTGTGTTCACTGCAGTGAGGGTCTGTGTGGGCACCAGAGCACCTGCCTAGAAGGGGCTGAGAAAGGAGAGAGGCCAGGCCAGAGACCTTGACTTGAAGCTGCTTCTGAATAGCACTAAGGTCAGCTGTGCATAGCAAAGAATGTCTGGATGGGTGTGGTGGTGGCTACACCACCGAAGCAGCCTGGGCCCCAGCACCAGCCATTTGCAGTGTTGCTGTAGTCCCCTCACTGGCCGTGGGGCTGGGATTACCTTTTCCTATGGCCATTTGAGGTTTGGGGCAAAAGGGGTAGGTTCAGGGCAGGCACGGAGGTAACCAGCCAATAAGCCTGCCCCCAGGGCAGTGGCAGCTGGAGATAAGACTCAAGTCCAATGGGGTGACTGAGGCCTGGGCTTCTGTTCCCTCCCTGTCCCTCTCCCCCTTCCCCTCCTTGCCTGCTTTCCTCTTCCCGTGCTCTTTTTCTCTCTCCTCTCTTGGATTCTTTCAGGTTCCTCCTTTCCTGGGGATAATAGGAAGCAGAATTATATATCCAAGGCTTGATCAGTTTTTGGGATTTTAAAATAAACTTATTTGGAAACAATTTCAAGCTTACAAAAAGTTGTAAATACAAAAATAGTCCGAGGTCCACCCATATATGATTTGTCTGATGTTAACATTTTACCCCATTTGGTTTGTCATTTGCTCTGTGTCTGTCTTTATTTATTTTTAAAATTTGTTCATTTATTTTTTGAGACAGGGGTCTTGCTCTGTCACACAGGCTGAAGTGTAGTGGCGTGATCTCAGCTCACTGTAACCTCCACCTCAGCCTCCCGAGTAGCTAGTGCTACAGCCACATGCCACCACGCCCATCTAATTTTTATATTTTTTGTAGAGATGGGGTTTTGCCATGTTGCCCAGACTTGTGTGTGTTTTTATACATAATCAAGGATTGGGGGAAGCACTGCAGTATAATGCAAAATTTGCATGAAAATTTAAAATAAAACACCTACCCTTAGGCTTTCATAGACCTCCCAAGGCACCCATTTCTTCCCTCGAGAAGGAGTTTGAAGATCACAGTTTACATGAAGCCCCAGACCACTGGTTGTGAGCTCAACGCCTTGGCACTGTGTCCAAGACGCCCTTACATGGTCACAGCCCAGATCCTAGCCCTCCTGAGCCGGGGCTGGGCGGCATCTGTATGTAACTTCTTTGTGAAAGACCATCCTGTCCAGGGGTGGACTGTTTGAGGCTTGGGCCCTGCCAAGGGTCAGAGCCCAGTGTTCCTTGCTGCCTTAGCTGACCCCAGCCTAGGGAACCAGGAGCCAAATGGAGTGAGGGTGGCGGAGAAAAAGCCCCAGAGGGAAGGAAGTGGCAAATCCTAAGAAACCTCTTTCCTTCTTTATTATAAGGAAGGGTGGAGCATCCAGGAAACCTGCCGTTGGAGAGTTCTTTGGGGATTTGTTTTCCTTTTTGTTTTGTTTTTGCTTTTACTTTGTTCTCGTTTGCACCCTCTCCTTTTTTCTTCACCCCTCTTTTGTGTTGGCTTATTTCTTGTTTCTCCATCTTCTCTCCTCCCTCTTCCTCCTCTCTTCTGCTGTTGAAATGCCTTCTTCCCTAGAGCCCTTTAGCCTGTTATGAGCATTGCTGAGGATTGGATTAATTAAAAAAGTGATTTTTGGAGCCACACAAGGGTGTGATGGCCCTGCCTGCAGGCGGGTATTTACCTGCCGGGAGAGCCGAAATTGTGGTGGTGTTCTACCTGTAGTTTTCCATGCTTGGTCAGTTTCCCACCTCCCGGTAAGCTAGAAGCAGAAGCATGGGGAGTAGAGCTTGAGAGCAGCAAGAAGTGACACCTGATAGGAATGGGGAGACAGAAAAACCAGTCATGTGTCACTTAATGATGGGGCTACGTTCTGAGAAATGCATTGTTTGGCGATGTTGTCGTGGTGTGAACATCATAGAATATACTTGCACAGACCTAGATGGCGTAGGCTGCTACACCCTAGGCTGTGTGGCATAGCCTGTTGCTCCTGGGCCGAAACCTGCATAGCAGGTTGCTGTACTGAATACTGTTGGCAGTTGTAATATGATGCTGAGTATGTGGGTATCTGAACGTAGGAAAGGTGCAGTAAAAGTTTGGTGTAATCTTTGCAACCATCTTCATAAATGTTGTTGACTGAAAGGTCACTATGCTGTGCATGACTGTATTTCTTTTTTCTTTTTTCTTTTTCTTTTTTGAGACGGAGTCTTGTTCTGTTGTCCAGGCTGGAGTGCAGTGGCGCAATCTTGGCTCACTGTAAGCTCCGCCTCCCAGGTTCACGCCATTCTCCTGCCTCAGCCTCCTGAGTAGCTGGGATTATAGGCACACCCCATCATGCCCAGCTAATTTTTCTATTTTTTTTTTAGTAGAGATGGGGGTTTCACTATGTTGGTCAGGCTGGTCTCGAACTCCTGACCTTGTGATCTGCCCGCCTCGGCCTCCCAAAGTGCTGGAATTACAGGCGTGAGCCACCGCGCCTGGCCATGACTGTATTTCAGAAAAAGAATAAACAGGAACACAAAAAGCCAGCAGTCCGGAGCAGTTTAGCTAAGGGGTTGTTGTCCTGCACAGTCAGTAGGCTCTGAAGGCCATGTCTGAGCCACAGCCCTGCCCATGAATGAACCTCAAGGATAGTCATTGGCTTACTTTATTTTTAAAACCTCCCCTTTAAAGATTTCCTCTTGAAGAGAGAGCTCACTTTCTAGATAGTTCCATGTGGAAGTGGACTGCTGAATAAATTAGTGTTTCGATTCCCCTCCACCGTCTCCCCCATTTTTTCCAAACATTTCTTTCTGTCTTTGTCCATATTCATCGCTGAGCTGAAGAGTATACTTTATCAGAAACCCTTTTGTCCCTTTCCTTTTCCATGCTTAGAGGGAAGTTTCTGACTTGGGAGAATGCCTCAGAGTTCTTGGGGTCTGAACTCCCCTGATGCCTTGCAAAGTCACGTAGCTGTAAGACCCAGCGGGTGCCAGCCGGGAGGGTGACTCCAGCTCAGCAGCGTGTATGGAAGTGCATTGTGACCATGAAGGAGATTGCCTGTGGCCAAGCCACCTAGTGAGCTCCCTACCAAGGAACCTGGGTGTCACCTACAGGTGGCTGGGAGCCAGTTTTTATGCCAGGCAGGGGACTGGTTGGACTCTTGAGGCTTCTTCCTATCTGTGAGGAGCATTCCTGTTCCCCTTGTGGTAGGAATACCTGTCACCCCACGAAGGGGCAGAGTGATGGTTGTTGGCCCCATTTTATGCAGACTTGGGTGTCATGACTTCTGGTTCACTTGTTTCAAGCCTACCTGTGATGGTGGCTGCAGCATGCTGCCCCCTTGACACACTGCTGGAGCTCAGAGCACGGGCCAGAGTCCCAGCCCGAGCCCCACCCCCAGGCAGTACCTGACAAGGATACCTGGGATTGGGACCAGCTTTCCAGTCAGATGCCACGCTGCTTTTGCCCAGTGCCACGGGGTGCTAGGACCTGCCTCAGGCTCTCCCGTGAGGGAGAACGACCTCTGCAGGCCCCTCTGCCTTTCTGCTTCATAACTGACCCTTTCTCTGGCAGGTGAGGTGATAAAGCACGGGGACCTGAAATGTGTGCGTGATGAAGGAATGCCCATCTACAAAGCACCCCTGGAAAAAGGGATTCTAATCATACAATTTTTAGTAAGTTCACTGTGTTTCATTGTCGTGGACATATTAAATGCCTTAATTGGAAGGGGAAAAAACAGCCACCTTTCTTTCCCACCTCACCCTTTACAGGTAATCTTCCCTGAAAAACACTGGCTTTCTCTGGAAAAGCTTCCTCAGCTGGAAGCTTTACTGCCTCCTCGACAGAAAGTGAGGATTACAGATGACATGGATCAGGTGGAGCTGAAGGAGTTTTCTCCCAATGAGCAGAACTGGCGTCAGCACAGGGAGGCCTACGAGGAGGACGAAGACGGGCCCCGGGCTGGAGTGCAGTGCCAGACAGCATGACATGGTGCGGGGCAACGTGGCCCCGCCGGACTAGCACATGATGAATGTAAAGTTGGCACAATGAAAATGGATCGCTTTAATGGCCTCATGTTTGGGATGTCCTGTGTACGTGTTCAGCATTCTTAATTGCTGAGTGTCTTTTTGGTTTTTATTTTGGTTGTAACTTAAGTTATAGCTTAATTTATATTTAAATGTTTTAAGTGTAAATCACCTCTAGTCTGTATATGGAATCTGTTCATTTCTATTTTCAGGATATACTTTTTGAGATGTCAGTGATTGCACCAACACTTTGTGCTTCTAGTGGCTTTGCCATAATTCAGTGTCACCAATAAAGCACAGCCCAGTTAGCAGCTCAGCCCCCTAGCAAACCCCAAGGCACAAAGTGGGCATCCTGGCCCATCTCTAGGTCTGTGGTTTCTCCCCCCTCCCTTGGCAGAGTTATTGAGGGCATGATCTCAGGGCTGCTAAGATAACATTTCTGAGGATTCTAGATGATCCTCTTAAAGAACAAAAGCACATCCATGGATCGGACATGGCTGCCTGTGCCTGCTTAACAGGGCCAACTTAGTTCCTACTGTTCTGTGCCCTTCAGTGGATGGAGTGTGAGTGTGTCTGATCATCTCTCTTGGAAGTTTTCTGAACCTTCCAAGCTCTGTGGTGAGGACAAACCAGTGTTTTGAATCATATACTGATAACTGTTTGCCTGTGACCCTCACACCTTGTTCTTCATGGTTTTAATGATTTTCTGTTGACAACTTTTGCAATGCTTTCCCACCAAAGTGCTTACCTGTAAAGAAAACTAAATCGTTCTGTGTCCCCGGCAGCCTCAGTGCAGCAACGGAAGCCGAGGGAGAATGCTGCTGGTTTGGCCCATGACACAGCCAGCTTCTCTGACCAGTAATCTGGGGTGACTTGAGGGTCTGCAAAGGCATAGAACTCCCCAGTGTTTTCCACCTCATTCTCCCAGATTCAGCTCCCTTCCAAAGGATTGTTCCTCTCATTGCACAGCCATATTACAAAGGGCTTCCTGCTCAAGTGATGTTTTGGTAAGAACTGCTCTGAGTTCCACTGTGGACTACAGTTTGTATGGACTACTACTGTAAATTATAGCTTGTTTGGAGGGATATCAGTCATTATTTTATTCCTGACAGGTAGACTACAATTCGAACTTAGGGTTACCTCAGTCTTTAGCCATTACTGCTTATTTCCTGCCCCCAAGTCACAAAAAACTTGTAAGCTGTTGGGTTAAAGCAGAGGCCGCCTGTCAGATCTACCCTACCCTTATTTGGTTACATGGCACCTGAGAGTTTCACTCAGACCAGGGATCTTCCTTAGGAGGGTCAAAAAGCAGATCAGACCATGCAGAAGTAGGGTGAACCAGCTGCACGGACCAGGTTCCCACAGAACATTGCTAGCTAGTGAGGCATAATTTGCTCAAAGTATAGAAGCAGCCCACGTATGCCCACTTTGACCATGGGTCAGGATAGATATAAAATCACTTCTTCCAACGAAGCCTAAGTGAAAAATCTATTTGTAAATGGACCACAACTCCGGGGTGTTGTTTCTGTGCTGTGACTTCCTAATTATTGCTGAAGAACTACTGTTTCGTTGGTGATGGAGTAAAATTACATTCAGCTCCTTCTTGTCATATAAGAGGAATTTGGAGGGTGTTGCTTAAAATTTTATTCCACCTGTACATTTGTCACTTTAAATTAAAATTGAGCTGGTATGAGAGACAAGTGGCTTTGCTTTTTCATTTTTTCGAGAGCTCAAACAGTGTTAAGTACCAGCTTGCCTCTCATTGGTTGATAAAATGGAATGAAGTTTCCACTCTCATGGAGCTTTATTTTGGGGATGGGGGTGAATGCAAACAAAAAGTGGTAACTGCTATGAAGAACAAGAGGAATGGGAGTAAGTAGAAGGGAAAGGGAAGAAGGCCTCTACCAGGAGCTGGCATCTAGGCAGAATCCTGGATGCAGTTGGGGAGCAGACGTCCGAAGGTCTGGAGGGAAAACATTCCAAGCAGAGGAATGGCAATGATGATGTGGTTACAGGAGGGTGAGCAAGGCAAGCAGGAGAAAGAAGCAGGGGGCTATGATAAAAAGGGTGAGCTTTATTCTGAGGGCAGTGAGTCGTCTGGGGAAAAGCACATGACCTGACTCATAAGCATATTAAGTTATGATCAATAAAAAGCAACACTCTTCCAAGTGTTTAGCTACTTACATCTTTCTCATTAACGTGAGTCTCAAGGGGGCTGATGAGGAGGAAACTCTGAGGTACAAATACTCTGAAATAACTAAGGCAGAGCTACTGTTCTATGGAATGAGGCACAGGCTTGAGCCTAGGCATTATTAAGGCAGCAAGAATAGCAGCTTGCCTTCCAATACCCACCTAGTGAGTTAGAGACCTCTCTGAAATTAATAAGGGGAAGGAGGGCTTGGCAGGGGACATCTTTAATACATCAAGTAGAAGGATGCCCAGATAGACAGGAGTACATAATGTTCCTATGCAGTCAAATATACTCTTTCCTTCAGGACTCCATTCTATAATAGATTAGCTTCTTTATCACAGCTCTGGGGAGCTTGCTGCTATATCTCACTGCATGAGTCAATTCCCTGGAAGAGCCTGTATTTCTAAGCCAGAAAGTTAAAGAAGTGCCTGGATCTCTTGATGGCTAAGGCAGAGATTTGCTCTTAATGCCAATCCCTCTTACTGTTTCACTGGTAATAGGGTAACTGAAAAAAGAAGCATGTTCAAGGACACTGGTGTTTGCATTAAGAAAGCTTTATGTTAAAGTATGAACAGCATTCCCAATAAAACATGAAAAGATTTATATTGTATCTACAAAATTTAAGTCTTTGCTACAATAAATGCTATATTTCTTTTAAACAAGCCTAAAAAGGTAAGGAATGTCATGATCAATCCGTACATTCTCTTTGCAGCATAAGCCTGGAGACTTTGATGTTTAAATTGGACAATCATAGATGTGAATTTCCTGGTCATCTCCAACAGACACAATTTTTGAACCATTTCCATTGTATTTTACTCCCCAGACCTGTAAATTTAAAAAAAAAAAAAAAAAGTTCTACAAATGCCTTTATTCTTTATAATATTTATGAAATGAACATCCTTATTTTCTCGTTATTCTGAATCTACAAAAACTGAGATGAGGATATTCTTGTACTTTCCAAATCAGTGAGAATGGAGGCTTTAACCAAGCACCTTACAGTATTGCTATTTAATTAGCATTCCTGTCCCTTCCCATACTCCAAAAAAACGAAAAAAAAAAATCATTTTTAAATACAGTTCTAATCAAGATTATCTATAACCCTTTCAAAGAGTCAGAATCCCGAGGTAACCTAGTGCCAGGAAGATGGAAGTCATAAGAGACCAACATTTATGCTTCCAGGAAGAAACAGGCCCCACAACTACCCCGAGATCACTGCCTATAGGGGAAATCACAAACTGTGCTCCTCAGCTGGCCCCTTGTGTCCACCCCCCACGGTCAATAATTCTCACTCTGTTATGAGTGGCCTATGGAGCCTGCTTGTCCCCAGGAGCTAGACAACATGATACTGTGGACCATAGATTTTTATTTGCTATGTGTTGAATTAACTGATTCACACCTCTTTCCCAGACAGAATTGATGTGGTTGGAGTTTCTCTAGTCAGGAATAACTTCCTGATTATTAGGAGGTGATTTTGGGTGGTAAGCCTGTCACCCTACTCTGATTTTAGTGTTGGGATTGGACTGCATGATGGCCTTTCACTCCAGCCTCTGAAACAGCACTGCAATGATCCATGCATACAAGGCAACACAGCTAGCCAGGACTTACTCCTTGAGTAAGATGTTTAAATCCAGGAGTGGAATATCAAGAGTCAACCCCCTCAATTTTGTTGGAAACAATTTAAGGTGAAAAGTTAAAAGCATGAACGATGTTAGTTAACTTTAAGTTTCATTTCAAAGAGGAGAAATCTATAGGACCATCTAAAAATATTTAAAATGTATTAAAAGCCAATTATATACTGCCATGGATGTTTTATTTTTTTATGCTTAGTTCCCTAAGACCTTACAGTGTGGTTAGGACCAGCAGCCTTGGCCTCACCTGGGAGCCTGTTAGAAATGCAGAATCCCAGGCCCTGTGCCAGACCTAGTGAAGCAGCATCTGCATTTTAACTAGGTTCCCAGGGGATACAAGTACACATGAAAGACTGAGCAGTATTGCACTAGAACACCTTATTTCACATAGTCACCCTGGCAAAGACAAAGAGGCTTGTCAGAACAGTTTCCTTTTAAAGACTGAAACAAAAGTTATCAATACCACTAAAGCCAAAAAACTTGTAAGAATTTCCAGCTTCTATATTAAAAAAAAAAAAAAAAATCACATCTCTTCTTTGGACAGTTCCAAAAATGACAAGTGATAAGCAATGGAATCTCCTGAAGACAAAGGTCGTTGGTGAGCCTGCCATGGCCCAGCAGCCCCCAGGAGAGGGCCCCAGACACCAGTTGCAGCAATTTCCAAAGATGGCATTTAAAGGCTGTGGGGCTAACACAATGTCTTCCGGCCTGTGTGGGGATATGCCTCGTGAGTTGCTAGGCTGACAGCACATCCCAGCCTCTGCACCCCAGACTGTGCACAGGAACTCTGGCTACATGGATGACTGAGCAGACACAGCAGCTCAGGCCCAGGCATCTACTGGCATCTACAGCTCAAGCAACAAGGTTAGGAAAAGAAAACCTCTTTGGTACGATGGTCAAACAACCCCAGCTATCTAAAGAGGAAATAGTAATGCCATACCTGATCCTGGTGATCAAAGAAAGTGTGAACACACGTCCTCGTTCCAACATCCCAAACTTTTACACTTTTGTCAGACGAACTATTTTAAAAAGTGAACATTAGTATCGGTTTGAAGTTGGAAGGACTTCGACCAAAAATCCTTTGATGACTTACATTCTTCTAACTTCAGACCCCCCAGCCCCCACGCCTCAGTACAGGAAATGGACAGGTATTGCATCATCACTGGGTGGCTTTCCCTCCTCACAGGGTAGCCATTTTCCTGAAATTCTGATCTGCCTGGCCCTCATTTTAATTGTTCTCCAGGAGTCTCAGACACAGCTACCTATTTCCAGATGAGAGGGAGGCCTGTTAAAACTTCAAAACCAAGGCTCGCAGGAGGCCTCTAAAGCACTGTGCAATGCCTTCAAGTTGTCCATCTCCTGCTTTCCAACTGTCTTGGCCATCCCAGGGCTGACCAACACTGAGATCTATAAACAACATTTTACAAACATTTACATATTTTAAGTTACCATTGGAACACAAGTCTACCTTAGAGTCACTTTGGTAGAAGCCTCAATTTATAATGAAAAAACTAAGAGTTTAACTGTTTAAAAGGATTCCTTGTTGACTTTTGTTCCAGCTAAGGTCAACTAACTTCACTAAGTAAAAATTTTAAGAACTGCAGAAAACAGCCGGGCGCGGTGGCTCAAGCCTGTAATCCCAGCACTTTGGGAGGCCGAGACGGGCGGATCACGAGGTCAGGAGATCGAGACCATCCTGGCGAACACGGTGAAACCCTGTCTCTACTAAAAAATACAAAAAAAAACTAGCCGGGCGCGGTGGCGGGCACCTGTAGTCCCAGCTACTCGGGAGGCTGAGGCAGGAGAATGGCAGGAACCCGGGAGGCGGAGCTTGCAGTGAGCTGAGATCCGGCCACAGCACTCCAGCCTGGGTGACAGAGCAAGACTCCGTCTCAAAAAAAAAAAAAAAAAAAAAGAACTGCAGAAAACAAAGGCTAACAAAGAGTCAAACATCTTTAAATGTTAAGGCAATCTATACAGGAAGACTGCCCTCATCTCCCCAGCATTTTAGAAACTGCTAAGAATCATTAAGTACCTGGAAACAAAGTGAGTGTCATCAGGACAGAACGCAACGTTCAGCACCCAGGAGGCATGGCCACTCAGCGTGCCAGCCAAATTGGCATGTTGTCTGAAATGGGAAAGGTTCAAACAAAATTGAGATGTTAATTTCTAGAGTATAATCACCGAAGTAGAGAGTTTATTATTAACTCTGCCCATAAACTGGACCAAATCTGCTATCCTTATAATGACCATGAATACTGTATCACAAATTCCCCTTTCAATGAAGTAGCATCATGCATTAGAGACAAATTTTAATAGCAGCATTAACCCATAATGTGTTGATGCTGCTAAGAGCCAAGAATAAAATCTTTAACAAGCAAAGAGCTGAAGCTCAAAATGAACAAAGAACTACACTATAGAGGCTTCACAAGCCAACCCCTAAGATGAGGAAATTGAGAACCAAAGGGGCAAGGAAGCCGTCTCAGGAGAAGGGCAGGTTCAGACTCCTGCCTGCACCAGCAGCCTTTCCATATAGAGTCAGTGCTCCCAGTCCAAGGAGAGCGTCAAGATGTATTCATTATGACAGATGCAGCTTGGAGAGACTATTTTAAACCTAATCAAGAACAAGACAGGTCTAATTACAACAGCTATTTTCACTTTTTTAATAAAAATGAAACCCAATCACCTCTGGCAAGAGAACCACCATAAGGCCTAACTGAGGTCAGCAATTTTACCCCTGAACACAGAACCCAGCAGAGTGGAGCAGACCTCAGTTAGGGGCCAGGAGGCAGTCTCAGTGGGATACAGTGGGACCATGGGAGGGTAAGAAGTCCTGGGCCTTAGTAAAAAGATCAGTAGTTGCTAGGGGCTCAAGGTGGGAGGAAGGGATGATCTGGTAGAGCATGGGATTTTCAGGGCAGTGAAACTATTCTGCATGACACTGTAGTTAGTGGTGACTACACGTCATTATATATTTGTTAAAACTCATGGAATGTACAACACAAAGAGTAAACCCTAATGTAAAATATGGACTTTAATTAATAATAATGCATCAATATTGGGTGAAAAAAACCAGTCTTGGGTCTTCATTCAGTACCACCTCCTTGGGAAAATCACCACCTCAGCTTGGGTTTCTCATGTGCAAAATGGGGACACTAATCTGTGCTGCTACCTCATTGGTTGCTGGGAGGATCAAAACAGTGGCAATGGAAATCATAAAGTCACAAATGTAAGGAATGCTGCATTTATACTGCCTCTGCCACTATCAGGCAAGTACAACTCTACAGAGATATCTTTCCCTCTCGGCTGTAGCACCCTCATTCAGTTCTAATTCCAAAAACTGCAGTTAGAATTCTATGTCTAGCTGATAATCTTTTGCCATAAAAAACTGCATTTTAACCAGAAGTGGCTAGAAGGAGCAGTGTTCCTACTGTGAGGTTTAAACTCGCAAGCAACTATCACAGGCCTCTGAAAGAACACACACGGATGGTCAGGGTTGCAGTATGTGCAGGTGGAGGAGGTCTTGGCACCATGGCTAGGGTCGGAGTGTGATATGTACCTGCAGTGGATTAGAATGTCATGTTCAGGAGCAATGAGCCAGAGGCACGCCTGGCAGGGAGAGCTCACCACAGCACTGAGTCACAGTATCAAGAACACAGATCCAACACATTACAGGGGATACCTCAGTAGGGAATAGGAGTCAGGACTAAAGATGATGGGGGAAAACAAGAAGACAAGGGGATCTGCACAGGTTTACAATGATGGCTGTGAATGAAAGAGGATGATTAACTTGCTTCTATACTCATAGTCAAAGGCCAAAACCAAAAACACTCCCATCTAGACCTGCAGCAGGCTCATAAACTGACTGTTCCCTAACTAGGGCAGAGGCATGTCTGCTAGAACAGCCCTACCCTTGAAAATGGATGCTCTAATTTTTTCCTGTCCCCAGGGGCCAGCTACAGCCCATGGCTCCATTTCCTCATCTGTATATTACTTACCTATCCCAAAGAATTTGAAATCAGTAAGCTCACAAAAATCAGGCTGCCTAAGAAAAAGTAGCAAGTATCTGATCCTACCAGGGAACCCATGCACATCCTCCTCCAAGCAGCCCTTGAGGACACACACTAAAAATGGGCGCTGAATGGGGGAGGACCGCCTGGGGAGTCAAGGTGTTCGATGTGACTTGAGCACAAGCCTTTACTAGGGCTGCTCCCTAGGGCTCCTTGTAACAATAAGGGGACAAGACGGACATCAGTAGTAAGGGAGACACCTTGAATCTCGACAGGTAACTTACACATCATAGATCTTGATGTAGCCATCATCTGAAGCAGTGACAAGGAGCTGGGAGTCCGGGGAAAAGGTCAAGGAGCGAATGGGCATGGCATGGCCTGAAATTCATAAAGGCCCTTGTTAATCTGGTGAACCACTGCCTCCTCACTCAGCTTCCCACTGACAATGTCCCTTTTAATGATTACAAGCCACTGAGTTGAAATACCCAGGTGCTTCAGGCAGAAAAGCAAGAGTTCTGACTGGGCCTTTCATCTTAATGTTCTTGAAACATCCACATAACCCCAGTCTCTCCTCCTGGAGCCATTTCTCTTTAGTTCCCTTCCCTGCCCTCAGCATGCATTGCTTTAAAGAACTTCTCTACTACAAATATGGCCACACAAGGAAATATACATTGCTCCTGATTTGTAGGGTTGAACAAATTAAGATGTTATTTCCCTATCAAATCCTTTATTACAGTGTAAAGGATAAACTATAGCAATGTGAGGAGGTAATAAAGTCACTTGATTAGAATTCAAAACCGCACGAAAGTATGTGTAATAAGGTCTCCCCCCAATCTACTCCTGTTCTTTAGCTACCCAGTCCTCCTTTCCAGAGGCCACCAGTGTGGACAGTGGGCACAATACTTTCATCCACCTTCAAATTATCAACAAAAAGTTGTTTTCAATCACAAAGTTCGTCAGAATCCAAAATGACAGAAATGAGACATTCATATAGCAAATAAATATTAACACACACATATATATAATGTGATAGATTATGATATAATCAATAAAAAGTAAGTCTGTTCACCCAAACAAGCATTTAACACTGTTACAAGAATTAGTATGTCTAGGTTAAAACTACAGTGACAGGCCAGGTATGGTGGCTCATGTCTGTAATCCTAGCATTTTGGGAGGCCAAAGCGGAATGATCTCTTGAAGCCAGGAGTTGGAGACCAGTCTGGGAAACATAACAAGACCCCATCTCCTCAAAAAATTTAAAAACTAGCCAGACATCATGGTGTGCACCTGTAGTCCCAGCTACCCAGGAGGCTGAGGTGGGACGACCCCTTGAGCCCAGGAGTTCAAGGCTACAGTGAGCTATGATCACACCAATGCACTCTGGTCTGGGAGCAAGACCCTGTCTCTAAAAGGAAAAAAAAAAAAAAACCTATAGTGACAAGATTAAAACCTGGAGGCATTTCAGTTTTCCAACTGAGATTGATATTTTGTAAATCTAATGCCCGTTTGCCATTTAATGGCATTTTAATGAAAGAATAATTCTTCCTTTGTGATTTGATAACCAAGTTTATAAAAATAAGATGATGATATATACCTTCCAGCGTATGCAGAAGTTTTCCAGTTGCAATATCAAAAATATTGATGATTCCATCTATGGCTCCACTGGCTAGGTATTTCCCATCAGGACTCTGTTCAGAGAACATATGGAAAAATTAGCACTTTCAGACCCCATGTTTTTAAGCTATCCCTACCAAACTCAAGCAAACCTCCTGCTGTCTACAGGTCTAACCAGCAACCTGGCAAACCACACCAGTGAGATAGTCTGCCTGACCAGACCAAGGCAGAATCTGTGCCAAGGACTGCAACAGGCTGGAAGGGCAAACTGAAAGAATCAGAAGGAGAAAAGAGAGCAATGTTTCCTTACATATGCAATACTAAGAATGAATTTTCCTCTTGTGTCCAAAGAATACTCCTTTTTCCCACTTTCCACACCAAAAATGTTCACTTTCCCGACATGAGTTCCTGTGGCCAGATACTGGGAATCAGGAGAAAAGGCCAAAGTCCAGGCATCCACTGAACAGAAAAAAGAAGGACAAAAATACAGTGTGAAAAGATTTGGCCTTAATTTTAAAAACTAAAGTTTTACCAAAAGACACATCTTTTTAAATTGGAGTAGCAGTGTCCTGATTCAGAAAATTATGTTGTAAAGACGCTAATTCTTTATCAAGTTTAGATTTAGTTTAAGGGTTTCTTAAATTTTTAATAAGAATAGGACAACATCAAGTGCTAGCAAGGATGTGGAGAAACCAGAACCTTCATACACTGGTGGGAATGTAAAATGGCACAGCCACTTTGAAAACCAGTTTGACAGTGTGAAAACCAGTGTGAAAACAAACACCATAATATCCAGTAATTCTACTCCTAATGAAAACATATGTCCACACAAAGACTGGTACACTCATGGTCTTCGCTTCCTCCTACTTTCTCACTTCTCCATGACTGGGAATTGTCTCTCTTCTTTTTTTCTCTTCCTTTGTGGTGGTTCAGATTCTCCATGCATATTTTCAAGATAGGTAGAAACTAAGTATTCATTTTCCCTACATTCATCAGACCCAAACTCATCTGAGGAGTTTTACCTTCAGATGAATTTAGCTGCTCTTTAGCTGTCAATAGCAATGCTTGCTTTTGTTACTGGACCAAATAACTGTTGGCTGTTTAATGGCCTTGTCTAGTTTTATGCAGAGTCCTATCCAAAAAGAAAATAAACCCAACTTTCAGACTCCATTCTTCTATCTTTTTTTTTTTTTTTTTTTTGAGATTGAGTCTCGCTCTGTCACCCAGGCCAGAATGCGGTGGTATAATCTTGAGTTCAAGTTATTCTCCTGCCTCAGCTTCCCGAGTAGCTGGGACTACAGGTGCACACGACCACGTCCAGATGTCCAGCTAATTTTTTGTATGTTTTAGTAGAAATGGGGTTTCACCATGTTGGCCAGGCTGATCTTGAATTCCTGATCTCAAGTGATCCACCCGCCTCAGCCCCTCAAAGTGTTGGGATTACAGGCGTGAGCCGCCACCACCACGCCTGGCCTCTTCTGTCTTTTTCATTCATAACAGTAACTTTTAAAACCTTGCCACGCTTGGACAACACCCAGTAAAAGGTACTGTTTATCAGGCAAAGTGAGCTGGATACATACGCCATCCTTTTACTTGGAACCAATCCAGCAATGATTTCTTCAGCTGCCTCGTGCCCAGGGCTGCAACCAGCATGCAATGACACCAGCATTATGACCCCTAGGAAAGCTTAGGTGCCCAAGATGAAAAGGTAGAAACAGTTCTGCCTCTTCCTCTTTTCTTAAGACCATACTTATATATTAGAGTTTTAATGGACTTTGCAGGATAGTTTGGGGACCCAAGTCCTCTGTAAGTAACGTAAGCAGAGTAAGGGCACATGTAAAGACAACCATCTGGGGAGTCAGGGTGCGTCTGGGTAGCTTTTTCCAAATATATATCCCACCCCACGTACTCCGAACACTATGATTCAGTGGATCCAAAATATGGACTGGGTATGCATATTCTTAAAAGAGCTCCAGTGGTAAGAATTACAGACAAGAAATATTGCTTCTGAGGGAAAATGCACTCAGTTTCCAGACAATTCAGCCTCTTTAAAAACTCTGGAACCATCATTATTTCCAATACAGGAAAAGCCTAGAGTGGCTACTGAGCATAACTCGTGGGAGGTGAATCCATCCAGGGCATCAATCAGGGAACTGTGTTCATGGAACACCTAAGCAGCTCTTCTATCATCAACCCACAAAGGGGTGTGCCACAGAATGCCAGGCTATTCGCACCCTCTAGCGGTTACCACCCGTTTTGGCACAGCAGGTTCTGCTGGGGAAAGTTGTGCAGCCATTTATAAGTAAATGTGAAGCTCAGAAGAATCCTGAAATGTCCTCTGTGCTCCACATTAGTCAGCCTATGACATCATTGACTTCCGTCATCTCAGATGATGTTTACCAAGGCTGATGGACAAGATTATGGACAGTACTTAAAACAAAAAAATCGATGTTTCTTAAAAGTTTCATATGTATCACATACCAGGAATCACACCCTTTAATCAAAATGAGTAGAGATGACCATGATACACATCTATAAGGACCCCATGCTTTACATTCTAGGCTTCCATAAGGCAGTGAATGAATCAGCTCAGAATATGGTAAATAGAGAACTTCTGGAAAACACAAAATACAGGTCAACAACCCCAAACCAGCAGTTCTGAAATCCAAAAAGCTCTGGAAACTACTAGCTTTTTCCACAGGTTTACTACCAAAATTCATTTGGCAGCAAAATCTAAGCTGAATTGACACAGGGCTATTTATAGCCTTTATTTATCTCACTTAGTGTAAATACTCACGTTTAGTTGCAGAGTGTTTCATTAGAGTGCTGTTTCCAGCCCCACTGAAGGTATTATGTGAAATACAGTTCATGCACCCATTATCATCCCTCTCAAAACCAAAAAATTCTGAGCTATAAAACACATCTATCCCTAAAGATTTTGGAAAAGAAATCATGAGCCTCCATTATCTCCCCTACAAGTAAAACTCTTACCAGGTCCTGCATCTATGGACTTTATCTGTTTGCCATTTTCCAAGTCCCAAAGACGAATATGAGCATCAAGAGAGCTGGATGCAGCAATGGGCAGGGTGTGGCTGATGTCCACAGACACCACTCCCAGCTGATGTCCCTCCAGACTCCACTGTAGGTCCAGCCTCTCATCACGCCTTCAACAGGGGACAGAGAAATGGATTTCTTCACACAGAACACACTTTACCTGGCATCTGAAATTCTGGGTCCCTGTGACTATGCAATACCAATGGTCTATGAAATACAGAATCAGAGAAGAGTTAATGAGCTACAGAACACCAAATGCTGCCAGGTTTTCAATGTAGGACTTTAAGATTTTTTTTTTAAACTTTAGGGCTTTAATACAGAGTAACAGGAAAACAAGTGGGAAAAAGAAGCTGCTGTTTTATACCACCAGATTGCTATAGATTTCTTGCCTAGAAAAAAGTATTTCCCAGACTGCAACTGGCGAGTTCAGAAGCAAAACCTCAGCCCCCAATTTTCCAAGGCTGTATGTTAGGGGAGAGGTACTCACCATTTCCAGACCTTCACCAGGTCATCCAGGGAGCCTGTGACCACTGTCTCAGAGTTTTCCTTCTTGTTTGTCCCCCAAGCAACTGACCAAATGGCATCATCATGGGCTAGAATGGAAAGTAAAGTCTTCTTGCATATGACTTAATGAAGCTGAAATACTGTTCAACGATTGTAAGGTAACGTTTATTTGTATTTGCTTTACTATTTTACAAAGTGCTTTCCTATACAGCTTTTATTGAAATTTTGGGGCCACATATGAAAATTGGAGGTTCTGAAGAAGCTACTTGCCCTAAATCTCATGTTTACCAGATGGGATGGTAGCACTTTGGACTCTAAATCCAGTGCCCTTTCTTTTAGCATGCTATCTGGTATATAGGAGTCTACAATGGCTATCACTTGGCTAAAACAAGTAAAACCAGTGGGAAAGACCCCCTCCTACCAAGGAAAGACCTAAACCCAGTAACAGATACTCCGTAAAGATCTTTGGAAACGAGTAGGCAGTTCAATTCTAAACAGTATAGATCTAAAAGAAAATACCTAATGTAGCCTCCATATATTAAGTTGCCTTTCCCCACAAGTATCTTTATTATGGTTAATGGGCCAATTATTACAACAATCCTAAGAAGTGGGTACTATTAATATCCTCATTTTATAGACAAGGAATGAGAGGTGCTAGCATTCAAATCCAATCGCTATTAATTAAAGTCTACCTTAAATCTAAGTCTGTAAGCTGCAGGTTTGGTAGGCCACACCGTTGTATGTGCAGACCTGGTGTGGATGTAAAAATGTGACAAGTGCACATGGAGGCTTTACCCCTGCCTGGCAACAATTCTCCAGTGATACCTTCCCAAAATATGAATATAAAGGCATTAAACTTAAACAGCTGTGCATTACAGACAGAGTTGTGGCTTCCATTTCAAACCCCACCTAACTCAAGCCTGCTAACTTGCCACCTGGATGACAATAGCTACATATAAGGTAGTTGACTGGCATGCCCAATTAGCCTACTAGTTACTTACACTAGCTAACCTGGATGATGCTGTTGGCTTAAATGTCAAACTACCTACATGTCACTACTTAGAGAGGAAGAGCTTTGATTAGGCATTCCACAAATTCCTTAGGCCTTCCTAAACTCATCGAGGCTATAGTGAAGAAATGAGATGGGTGAGTAGCCCATGCACAGACATGACTCCTTTTTGGGTACAAAGCTCTGGACCACTGGTTAGCTACAATCCCAGTACACTCTGACCTGCGGCCTGCTCTCCCATCCCTGCCACTGCCACTGCTGCACAGCTCCCAGCCCTCCCCATGCACTCAGTGGCCTCAAAAGAAATTCATCTCACTATTATAGGCATCACTTTCATTAAGGGCCAAAGCAAGTTCTGAGTTCAGAAAAAGGCTCACGTTCACCTCCCCGGATGAGCCGGCATTAACAGAGTTTTGAGGCTCAAAGCATTTCCTTCTTCTACCTCGCCAGCTGAGAAGCTCGGTCATGTCTTCCTCAGGTGGGAAAATTTTCCTCAGCCTGGAAGCCTCCAACCTATCATGATGACTGCTTTTTTTTTTTAGTTGGTTGTTCAGGTTTTTGTTGTTGTTGTTTGTTTTTTAAGAGTATTTGTTTTCAGCTGCCAATTCTTCCGCAAAGTGAGTATACTTGAAAACTGCATGTCTGGTCAGCATGACAAAAGTCTTAAAGAAACCAGGGACAACAGTATTTTTCACAGATGAATTGCTTAAACAGGCAAGCTACTTACCTTGCTCTTGTTTGAAGAGAATACCATACTAAAAAAAGAACAGAAGCCACATTAAACCCATGGTCAGATTTCAGATGTCTCACATTGCCTCCAGAAAGCACTCCTCCCCAAGTAGATAGAGTCACTACAGTGTTTGCTACTTCCTCTGCTGTCAACCTGGCCATCCTACAAGCTCCTTGATCCCCACTCACGCAAGATTTGTACAGTCCTATCAGAAAAAAATTATTAAAGAAACTGACACTCTCTCCCTCTTCCTACTACCCACACTCACCCAACAAAAGACCAATAAATTATGTTTTCTTTTTCTGTCCTGCTCACCAAGGAAGCTCATGCAGCTTAAATTTTGCAGCTGCATAAAGGCACACAGCATGCATAACAGTCTATTAACTTTGTCCCTAATCTTATTACAAAGATCTGTTTCTCCTGTTCTATCTTCTATTCTGATCTTGCTGTTTTTTTCTTTTGTACAACATCTTTTAAGCTTCTTCTATTACTCACTAAACTGTGGTAAAGACTTAGAGGAACCAGTCCTCCTCCTAGTATTTGCATTTTACTAGTCCCACCTAACACTGTGGTAACGAGGCGACTAGGTACCCAGGGTCATCGAGCTCTTTAGGAGCAGGGCAAGAATAAGATGCTACTTTCTTGACTACACATCCAGAAAACCGACTGGACTTGAACTTGGCAAAGAGACCAACTGATGTTCTTCCCTTCAACACGGGCCTTACCTGGTTGGTCATTTCCTTAACCAAGGATCAAGGGCAAAAGGCCAGACAGTTCTGTGGAAACAACACCAGGATTTCAGTGAGAGGTGTCATCAGGATAGGAGGGCACACAGGAAGTTCCCCTTGACCAAGAAAATAAGGCAACTCTTTATTATGAAGTTGTTCTGACACCCTTCTATGGATCAGTCCCTGGAACCTCCTTCACACTCCCTACCAGGTGGTATGGTCTTTTTTCTTCCTCTGAATCTAGGGACTCAACTAACAGCTAACCCCATCCCACGGTTTCTTCACCTCAAGTGTGACTACAGAGAGTAACCAGTTTCTGTCCTTTGCTGCTTTTTAGAGAGAAGAAAACCACTTCTCCTTTTAATATTAAATATTATTTATTAAAAACAAACAAGGGGAAATCCAAAGATGGTAAAGTTCTTATGTTACACGCAAAGGTCTCAACCAAAAATGCCTTTAAGAGCCAATAGTCAGGTAAATAAGGGCAGAGGCTGGAGGGAGACACGGTGTCAAGAGATTGAGACCATCCTGGCCGACATGGTGAAACCATGACTCTACTAAAAATACAAAAATTAGCTGGGCGT